TGATTCTATGATTCAGATGAGCTCCTGCCTACGGTGCGGTGCTGAGCTGCCCCGACGCCGAGGCGTAAGCCCGCCTGCACGCTCGCGTACGCTCCGCAGGGAAGTGCAGTTAAGTTTGACACCGCGCTGAGCTGCAGAACGCACGTCTTGTGCCCGGTTGTGGTTATCTGATGGCAGAACGCCCAAAAGGCTCTTGAAGTTACCTGCCAGCAGGAAGCAGTGGTGAAACCCATCTGTCTCCTGTTGGTTCGTGGAGGGAATAGTGCACGGCCGTACTACAGTCAGCAGAAGAGGGTGGTTCTGGGGCTTTGGGAATACATGTGTTAGCATCTAACCCAACCCCAAACTTCTAGGAGACGCTGAAGGCCATCAGGAATCAAGCTTTGTTTATGACACTGTTAGTTTCAGGGTGGGGAAGAACAAAAAAGTATATTTGCCATGTTTTGGAAAATGAAAAACGACTGGAAAGAGAGGGTAAGGACCATATTTTGGCCATTACACAGATCTTTTCTAAGAATATCGGGTAATGAGGAGCTTTTTCAGAAATTATGAGCTGTTTTTAAGTCTGTGCAGCTGTTGTCTGAAAGCTTTGAGGATCTGTGATCTACTTCCGATGCCCCTCAGATACAAGTGAAGCAGAAATATCTTCACAGAAATAGACTGTCATCACTGTGGTCAGTCGGACTTTCATTTAGCATTCTGGAAAAAGTGGAAGGAGCATGACTTGATTAAACTAGTGCTAAGTAACAGATTTCCTCCTTTTTTTTTTTTCAGTCAATGTAGAACTTTAAAATTGGCTAAAAGCTCCAGATATTTTCAAGTAGCTTGAAATAGATGGTTGTCTTTTTTTTTGTGAATAAGCGTATGTGATAGATAAGGTCGGGCATTCAGAGAACTGAACACAGCTCCAGATCCCATGGATTTTTAATGGGAATGAGAGTTGATTTAATTCACAGAAAACCAAATTAAAAAGCCAAAGAGAAAAAATTGTTCTGGGAATTGCAGTGGAACTTTTAAAATGCCTAATTAAATGAAAATTAGTTAATGCTTTTCCAGGCAAACATACATAATATTAGAAAATGACTAATTTTGGAAGCATAATTAAAATATTAATTCTGTCCAAATCTTTGTGCTGCTTTGGGAATCCAGTTACCTGTTTAAACTGAAGTAACGGTTCAGTGGAGAGTTGGATTACTTCGTTACACTGATCCTGTTGTTGCAGGTGGTAGAAATGAGAGGGAGAGAAGCGAAAACGAGCAACTTGAAGTGAGGCATTGGAAGGACCCAGGAGAGATGGAAAAACGTCGTACCGGGGGTGTGGAGAAAGAACGGAGTCAGGCAGAAGAGGAACCTAAGAAGTACGGTGAAGGAGGTGATGAGGAGAAACTTGCTCGTGAGGAAGGGAAAAGCAAGGAGGAGGAGGATGAGCACCACACCCCTATTCAAGAGGAGAGGCTTCCTATGGAAGAAAAGGAACGCCATCAGGAAATGAGAAGAGAGGGGGAGAGGAGCTACCCCAGTGAAGAAGAAAGCGAAGAGAGCGAGCATCACAGCGAAGAGGTGGAGCATGCTGTTCTCAACACCAAGTCCCACCCTGGAAGCACAAGCACAGAGGAGTTCCCCCACGGGCCTGATCAGGGCTCCGCGGGCCGCTGGCGCTCAGGTGAGGGAGTGCAGAGCCCTTACAAAAGAATCCATGAAGGTGAAGAGGGAGAGGCAGAGGAAGAAAGAAGTGACAAATACTACCATGAGTCTGAGGAACATGATTTCTCCCATCAGCAAGAGCGTGAAGAATCTCAAGGGAGTGAAGAAGCAGAGGAGAAGCAACCATACAAACCCAAATGTTCCCATGGGAAGCACAGAATGGGTGACCCCTCTGAAGAGGAGAGGGGCTGTGGTGGTGAGAAAGAGGAAATAGCGGAGGAATCAAAGACAGAGGAGGCCCATCTCTGGGACAAAAGGAACCGCCATCAGAAACATCATGAGTTTGAGCAGCAGCGTGAGGAGAAGAGTGGTTATCATGGGAAGCACGGGCCTGCAGAGGAGGAGGAGAAGAGGCGTGTGGACCAGGGAAGTGAGGAGCACAGAGAAAGGTGGCAGCAGAGTGAAGAGAGCAGCGAAGAAGAAGAAAACAAGAGGCATCGACACAGTGAAGAAGGTAACGAGAAATGGCGTGAGGAGAGGAGCCGCCATGATGGCTCGCAGGAGGTGAGGGGGTACCGTTCGGAGGGAAGGACGTATCTTGGAGGTGACAGTGAGGAAGAGCTGGACAGGTATCTCAGCAGAGACAGCAAGGAGAAGCAGCAGCATGCTGGAGGGAGATACCGCCTGTGGGACAACGAAGATGAAAGGTCACTGAAAGCGCACGCTCAGGAGCGCCAAGGGCAGGCCAGAAGACCCTACAGCCCTGAGGACAGTATAGGGCAGCGCTATCCTGGCAACAGTGAGGAGGAGGAAGCAGAAGAGGAGCATCGCAGCAGCGATCAGATGGAAAATGAAGAGGAGAATATGGAGGAGGGAAGATACGCAGAGAGGGAGGAGTACAGAAGCCATCTTCCTGCAGAGAACGAGAAGAGAATGCCAGCATCCTACAGCCCTTTCTACCCACTGCTGTGGTGGAAAAACCAGCGCTCTGGGAAAAGGGACAGCGCAGGAAAGCAGCTTCTGGAGGGCAGGGAGGAAGGCAGACCCACCCTGAACAAGAAGAGGTTTTTCCCTTACTATAATGACTATGAATGGTGGGAGAAAAAGCAAATCCTAAGTGCTCTGAACCACGGACAAAGCAAGAAAAGGAGTCTTGGCAAAATGAAGAGATACGATATGAAAAGGCAATACAACAAGAAGGATCAACTTGCACAACTTGCAGATTACAGGAAGAAATCAGCTGAATTCCTAGAGTTGTACAATTCTGGAGAAGACATGAAAAAACGTCATGTAATCGGGAATGACAGAGGGAGTCTGAGACAGAGGCCTCTAACAGAAGAGAAGGTATGTGTACAAGGGTTTCTCTGAAAAGCTAGGGGAAGCTGACGTGACCTGCACGTTTCTAAATCCTTTCCCAAGGCGGCTGGTAAACTGTGTGTGCAAACGAGATTAAGTCACAGCGAGAGCCAGATCCCCAGGGATTTAAAAATCCACTTTCTTTGAATGAATTCAGTGGAGCTACCCCAGGGCACAGTTTGAAAACTAAAGACAGTACGTGCCTCTTCATTCACTTCTGTCTGCTGCAAGACAGGAGGAGAGAGGAGGTGTTTTTACAAGGGCCTGTAGTGACAGGACATTAACGGGGTTAAATTGAAAGTGGGGAGGTTTAGATTGGATATCAGGAAGAAGCTCTTCCCGGAGAGGGTGGTGAGGCACTGGCACAGGTTGCCCAGAGCAGCTGTGGATGCCCCATCCCTGGAAGTGTCCAAGGCCAGGCTGGATGAGGCTTTGAGCAACCTGGTCTAGTGGAAGGTGTCCCTGCCCATGGCAGGGGGGTTGGAACTGGATGGTCTTTAAGGTCCCTTCCAACCCAAAGCCCCACCTCTCCCTCTAGAGTCTTACAGACTAATAAAACAAAGATGCCCATGGCAGCAGGAGCAGAGAGGTAATTAGCAAGCACGGCTTGGTCTGTCGGGTTGTTTAACATGTACAGCTGAAATTAAGAGTGAAATTTGGCTGTCCTCTGAATTCCCAGCTGTAATTGCAGAGCAGAACACGGCTTGCACTTGCACACCTGATTTACCTGTGTAGTTCCCATGTATGTGAACCCTCTTCTCGTTGGACTTCCTGTTCTGCTTCCGCATCCAGGAAAACTTGAGTCTGCACCCATCAGCTAGATGCTGCTCCTGTCTGTCACTGTATTGCACAAAGCTGGGCTGGGAGCAGTGGAAGCTTAATAGTAATTTATAGAGGTTAAATGACGTTAGCAAGTCACGATAACCAAGAGTTGGGCGCGTAATTTTCCCCCTCGCATCCGGTCACGTGGAGGTGTTCCTCTTGTCGGTCCCTGGGTTGGCTGCATGTCACAGGCCTGAACCACTGTGACCGTAAGGTTGTGACCTCCCAAGGGTCTTCGCCTGGGCGGAAGGGACTGCGCTCCGTGGGGGCAGGAGCTGTGAGACAGCAGGAGGTCACCAGGTAACGGTGCTTTAAAGCTAAAAAACGATCAAGCCGTAGCCAGGGCCAGCGCTCAGAGTGAGTGTTGTGAGAGTTCCTCCAGCCCGAACACGGTTAAAAGCAGGAACCTGCACCAACCTCCAGAGCACCTGCTGCACTGCTAACGCCTCCCGCCCAGCCACCAGTCAGGGACCGGTAAGAGGCAGGAGATACCCGCTTCCGAAACGGTCTTTGTCTCTCATTTTCACGTAACAGAACGTTTGCCGACGTTACTGGATTTGCGAATGCTTTTTATGCGTTTTCACAGGAAAAAGAACTGGAAAACCTGGCCGCTATGGATTTGGAGCTGCAGAAAATCGCCGAGAAGTTTAATGGCAACGGGAGAGGTCGAAGGTGATCTGCTTGGGTGTCTCAAAGCTCGGTGTAGCTGTGCGCACGATACCTCTGTTCTGTGGTCGGTTCATTGCCCCTGGATTGCTGTTTGCCCTGACACCAGGAAATACTCTTTACGCTCTGCTGTAGTGCCGTGATTCATCCCGCTGGAAATGCCTTTCATTTGCTGCTCTTAAGATCTGGATAGCATGGATTTTGGTATTACAGTCTCTCACGCAGGGTGGGTATTTTGAATATGCTTGTGCAAATACTCGCGTCGGCGCTCTCGAGAAGTATGTCTGAATTTGAAATAATAAACCCCCTTGATCGTGGGCCAAACTTTCTTCTCGCTTGTTTGACCGGCTGGGTTACTGCAAAGTAAGCGGGGGCAGGTGGATAGGTTGTGGACAGGATGTTGACTTGTGGTTCACCCGTGTTATTTACAAGTTCCAAGGCACCTGCCTGTGCCTCTGAGTCAGCAGGAGCACGAGAGGCAAGAAGGAATGCCAGTTGCTTTGCTCCCGCAACTCAGAAATGCCCTGTGAGTTACTGATTTCTGGAAATTGTTGAGGAAGCAGAGAGGTTGCGACACCAAATGGATGCTTGTTGGTTTGGAACGCGTGTGCTGCTTCAGAGTTCAATGCAGTACGGGATTGGTTTCGCCGCTCCCTCGGGCTCGGCCGTTGATCTAACCCCCGCGCGT